GTCTTCTCACCAACCACCCAGAACATGAAATGTCCTCTCAGTACTTATCCAGGAAACAGGATAAACCAGGGAAAAAAATGATCTCCACTTTTTTCCCCCACCACTTAACATCTCTTTGTTCCAGTCTGAAAATCCTACTGTGCTGCCCTCCAGTCTCCACAAGCATTGCTCAGCAGTGCTGTCAACTCACCCAGACCTAAGTGAAGAAAATATTTCTGAGCAGTGTTTGTTGCCACAGCCCATTCCTTTCTGCCCTGAAGATTAAATAACTGTGCTCTGGGCTGTGCTCTTGGACTGCACACTCTGCAAGGCACAGCTGAGGCAGAAGGAAATGCTGCTGAGCTGCACAGCTCAGTGTCAGCGTCAACTCAAGTCCTACAGCCTGCAGGGACTGCTGATTTTTACCCTCTGATACCTTGAAAGGTGTCACCTTTGTCTTTCTGCTCAAGTGGTTTCCATCTTCTCTGCAGCAACACGGAATGAGCATTCCAAAAAGATGGCTAAGGTGCTCTGTCTGGAAAAGCAGAACATCCAAAGAGCTGCCTCCCCCTCACGCTCCCCAGGGAGGGAAGTGGCTTTGCTCAGGTCATGCATCTCCTGAGCACCTCAGGCATGTTCTGGTCATTTGGCACAAGGCAGGGATGCAGCCACTGGGCAAGGGGAAGAGGAACTGACACCAAAATCACACAATCACCACTTCAGTGAGACTTTATTGAGCTGAACACAAAGACATTCCCAACAGGCCAGGGCAAGAGGTGCACACAGGACCACCAACACAGCAGCTGGGCTGGCAGGAACAGCCTCTCCTCAAGTTCTGGAGCCAGGGGCTGACAGTTGGGAGCCATCCTGGGGGACTGCAGAGCACTCAGGCATCAGGGCCAAGTCCTGCCTGCTCACTGCACACAGTTCAGCCCCAGCACCAGGGGCACTTGCTGCCTCTCCCTCCAAGAGTATTTGGGACCCAACAGCTCCTTGCTCAGGAAGTTCATCTTCATGAATGGTTCACACAGTTAAGCTTCAGGGGAAGTGGGACACTTTTCATTACTCCTCACTCTTCCAGGGCTGCACTTGCCACGATCCTTTGGGCATGAGGAACCTTCCAGACTGTCCCAAACCTTCACAGCCCACTTGCTCTTCTTGCCACAGTTGGAGCAGCTCAGTGTCCCTGCAGGAAGAGAAAAGTCAGTGATTCTCTCTGAAAACAGAACCTACCCCGCTCTGCTTTCCCATTCCATGTGTTGTTCCCCTCTAACCAGTTGGTGGGACTCATTCCCAGCCTCCTGAGGTTCATTTCCCCCCTCACTCGTGGCTGCTCTAGAGCTGCTTCTCCACACACACAGAAGGAGCTGCTGCAGCTTGTCCAGTTTCCTGCTTCTCCTTGAAACTCCTGCAGCTGTTTGCCCAGCTCTCCAGGCTCCATTCCTTTGCCCACTGCACTTGTTGCCAGCCCCAGGGCTGCCAGGGCCACCCTGGGCTCTCACCTGCCCTCCCACTGAGGGACCT